ATGTTGGGAGCAGACCGCAGGCCCAAAGAGTTTTCGCGATCAAAACTATACCAGACACGCGGTGCTACCCCTAGGACGCCCGACCAACGGGTCGTCGAAGCGATGGTCAACGTCTATCGGTACGGCAGCCAGACAGGCTGCCCCAGGCAGTGATGCTGGTGTTCCAGAATACCCCGCTGGTGATTGCGATTGCCTAGCAGACAAATGACAAAATGGAATGTCTTGGGCAAGAAGAATTCCAAACAAGATTATTATATATACAGAATATTACTTTTGTTTTGTTATTGTCATTTAATAAAAGTAAGATGCCTAGTTTGAAGCTAAATAAAAAATAAATTACAATGTAACTGGAAATAACTGGACCATCTCTCAAATATTTTTTATATGTTTCTCGAATATTCTAGAAAATTGCCTCAGTCTTCCACCTGTATCAAGTGTTCTAATGGTTCTGAGAATGAAGGCAAGAGGAATGTAGAACATTCTTAATTTTGTCGTTCTAGCTACTCTAAAATATACTAGAAAATTGTAGACATATTCAAAAGAACTATAAAAGAGTAACACAGACAACATAGACAGTTAGTTTTATACTTTATGTGAAGCAAAGTGATGATTAAATTAAAATAAGTAAAGTTAATGTTAATTAGTATTTCAGTACAGTTTTAATTGATTCTGAGCCCCAGATCAAAACATCAAAGCTTTAACTTTTATATTTTGAATCGATTATTATAAAATACTAGCTGACCCGGCAAACATTGTGTTGCCTTAAATAAGATTTCTAGGGAAATTCTAGTGCAGAAAAAAAAACCTCATTCAACCACTTAATACCTCATTATAACAAAAAAAAAAAGTTTGGGTTGGACAACTCTTATCACTTCCGCGTATGAAAAATAGATAGTAGCCGATTCTCAGACCTACTGACATACTATTGATACAAAAATAAAACCAAAAAAACATGGCTGGCAAGCTACGATTGATACACAAATAAAACCAAAAAACATGGCTGAAAAATGTATAGTGAGTAAGACAGGAGACTGGCTTCGTCCTCATCCCTACTACGTGATGTTTGCTGGATGAGTGGAGTTGTCAGTAGTCGACCGGCGAAGGCGGGAGATCAAATTGAATTTTTTTAAAAATCATAATAAAGAAACTTGAAATTATAAACTCTGAATAAGAATTTATCTTACTACAATTATAATATTTGATTGCCATCTTGCAACCTTATTGCGGATCTGTGCATAGAATAAAAAAAATTAAAATTGAGATGGAAAAATAGGGGTTGATCGTATAAGAGTGAAAATTGAGAGTAATATGATTTTTTTTATTTTAAGTCATGACTAAATAAAAATAAAAAAATTCTTACCAAAAAAATTTAAGTTTATAATTAACAAATAAAAAATAGGGGTTGATCAAAGAGGGTTGAAAATTTGAGAGTAACATCAGATTTTTTATTTTAATTCATGACAAAATAAAATTAAAAATGAAAATCTTGCCAAAAAATTTAAATGTAATATATTAACATTATAATAAAAATTAACAAATAATAAATAAAAGTTGATCGTAGAGGGGTGAAAATTTAAGGTTGTATGTATTTTTATATGCTGTATCATAAAAAAATTAAAACCAAAAAAAATGTATAAAAAATAAAATTTAGGGGTTGACCACCCTTAACATTTAGAGGGATGAAAAATAGATGTTGTCCGATTCTCCACCCTGGCCGATATGCACGCTAAGATTCACGAAAATCAGTCGAGCCGTTTCGGAGGAGTTCAATCACGCACACCGTGACACGAGAATTTTATATACTAGATTAATTTAGCTATCCATTTATCTTCTTCTTCTATGTTGCTCGTTAGTCTCGCTAAACCTCGAGAACAGCTGGACCGATTTGGCTAATTTTGGTCTTGAATTATTTGTCGAAGTCTAGAGAAGGTTTAAAAGGTAGATAAATATAAAAATATATAAAATGCTCGGAATTAAATAAATGAATAATAATTTTGTTTTTCCTTTAACGTATCCCCCGTCGGACAGATTCCTTTTGTTTGTTTTAAGTTTATTTTACACAAAAGTTTAGGTCTTTTATTTATCAATTGAGGAACTACAAAGTCTGCCGGGTCAGCTAGTAAATGATAATAAATCATAAACAATAAAACTAGTAATTTACTTCCTACTTATTTTATCAAAGTCCTAATAGTTTTGATTACATTTGTTAATATCATAATATTATTATGATCATTGAAATTCGTCTAAGTAAACAAATAAATAATTATATAAAGGATTGTAATTGGAGCACCATGGAACATAAAGTCTATAAAGATAACTAAAGAAAAGACAGACTTCAAACCAAACAATGTTTGATTTATCAACTATCCAAAATAGACTGTTAAAGTTGCAGGTATTGGGAAGCATTGCCCAGAGACAGCAGCTGTAACCCATGCAAGACTGGATTATTTTGAGTATTTAACTGAAATTACTTATTTATTATGTCATTTGCATTGTGTCTGTTTCAACTATCCAACTGACCATATGTTACTTACATGTGGTTACTTTTACTTGCCACTTTTCAGAAATTTCAAGTATTTTGCTTATACATTTAAAATATATGTATGTATATGCAGAGAAAGAGCACTGAAGAATCAATTAATTTGGAATATAATATCTCCAAATCAATAATTCTTTTCATAAAGACAAAACTAATCCACATATTGAAAAATTTTTGGATGTGCAATTTGAAGCAGCTATATTTTGAGAACTTTCACACAGCTTGAAATTATTACTTAATATTATTATATATTTTTCATACATATGTTATAAGTATGAAAAATAGTGATAAATTGTATAGTTATTATAAATTAAGATTTTATTTGGATCATGACTGCATTATTATCTAATATTAAGTTCATATTGAAACACCTTTATTTTGGTTAAATTACCGAAGTACTTCTTGATGTAATTTTAGGGTTTGCAAGTTCCATATGGTTCTCTTGAATAAGAGTGAAAGTTACAGATAATAATTAGAGTTAGAATATAATTCTGAACTTAACACAAATTATACCTATTATTTACCTTTCAAATCAGCACTAAAAATGCTTACAGAAAATAAAAAGTTTGTATCGCAGCTAACAGCTTACAAATTAGCGATAGTGATTCGCAGTGTTCACAAATTAAAAAGTTGAAACGTGATATTGACATTTGACAATACTAATTTCATTCACCGACCACGTTACATACCTATTTTTTTTAAGGGATTTTATGACCTGGTAACTAAGATTTTTAGGTCATATCTTATTTTAATTTATATTCTTATTTTTATGAAAAATGTTAATATGGAGTGAAATGAAATGAGATGAAAGGAAACGAAGACGATTAATTTGAGACATTAATCAACTAGCATAAAATCAATTTTTTAATGGTGGTAAAATCTCTTGCGAGTCCGCGCGGGTAGGTACATCCACCCTGCCTAGGTAGGTGGTGTTAAATGGTTACTGGAGGCCATAGACAGCTACAACGTAAATGCGCCACCCACATTGAGATATCAGTTATAAGGTCTCAGCATAGTTACAACGGCTGCCCCGCCCTTCAAACCGAAATGCATTACTGCTTCACGTTAGAAATAGGCGGGGTGGTGGTATCTATCCATGCGGACTCAGAAGAGGTCCTACCACCAGTAATTACGCAAATTATAATTTTGTGAGTTTGATTTTTATTACACGAATCCTTCACCGTGGAAGTCAATCGTGAACATTTGCTGAGTACGTATTTCATTAGAAAAATTGGTACCTGCCTGCGGGATTCGAACACTGGTGCATCGCTTAACACTCAACACGAATGCACCAAACGTCTTATCTTTTAGGTCACGACGACTTACATACAGTTAATACATTTATAAATACGGGAACTCATAGAGATACTCTATAATGTCGGAAATGCAATAGAGTATCGATATATAATACATATCGTGTCGGTATGACACCACTCACGTCCAAACCCACCAATATTTATCTGATACAGACATAAGAAAAACTCTTCGGTATATGTGCTCGGCTGTAAGCCGATTTCTGTTGTTGGGTGTGGCGAGATTTACATAAGATGCCACTATCTCCCAGGAAAGCGAGGAGACAGGCGATATGCAATACTTTAGAGCTATTCCGGAAAGGAATGGGGCAAATTGGCGACAATCAAGCCAGAATTTTGTTGGATTCTCTTTTCCGGGTATTATAGGCTGGTCTTGGTATTGCTTCAGTTCGTTGAGCATATTATCGTTGGTTGAAAGTAAGCTGGAGCTTGCTGAAGTTGCAGCAATATCTATCATATTTTTTCATGTCCAGACCACAACGACGGTAAAGAATTTTCTGAGTTTGAGAGAATTGTAGTAGCAGGCCTGAGTTCGGGCGAAAGTTGTCTCATACATCTATGTTCTAAGCGTTTTTACCATTGAGTTACCCGTCCTTGGAGTAGAGTTCATTCATACTACTTAGAACCACTGCGTCCAACCACAGTGCGTTTCTTGAGATATTTTTTGCCACGTACCATTCGCCTTTCGAATGAGCTCCTCTCTACGGTGTTTTCCGAGCGCATAAGTCCTTCTTCAAACGAGGTTTTTGTAGAATATTTAACGGTAGGCAGCTTGGATCTGCCCCTGGCACTGTTGATGTCCATGAGAGACGGTAACCATTCGCCATTAGATGGGCAGTATGCTCGTATGCCTATAATGACAATAAAAAATACAAAAAAGACATGCATAATTTGATCAAAAGATGTTACTTTAAAAAATGTATTTCTTTTTAGGATTTTTTAATCTTTAAACTTATAAGTGTTCATTGGCCTGAAATATCGATTTTTATACTTTTTCGATACTTGGAATTTTATATCGATACATTGATATGTCGAAATTTATTCGAGCTTATATGCTTATAGTTATGCTTTTGAGAGTGCTCGATTGTGCGAAGTGTTGCTGTAGTTGGAACATTCAACGTTGAGCATTATGCCGCATAATGCGCTCTAATGCTGTAATTGGAAAACTACCCTAGCGATCAACTTCAGCAGTAATATTTTTGTCTCGACCTAAAGGTCTTATTTACCAGGTCATAAAATCCCTTAAAAAAATGTAAAATTTTTGTATTTATGCATTTCGTGCGTATGTTTTATTAGTTTGCTTTTTTCATTGCGAAAAATCAGCCTTTTACATAGTAGAATTAGTATCAAGCAATAAGGTATTAATAACAGTAAACTAATGTGCTTGTTACTAATGAAAAAATATTTATTGATACAGTTCCATTAATCTACAAATAAATAAAAAATCGTAATGTGTGTATTATAATTTTAGTAACAAGACTAGACCAAAACAACTCTGGAAGATAGAAAAGGTGCCAGTAGAATATACTTTTAAATTGAGTTTATTTTGGGAAATGGCCATTTGCAAATTATTTATAAGAATTTTGAAAATTCAGAATGCTATTCCTGCTAGATCCATGTGTGGCTATTTACAAGTTGAACCTGGTGAAAGTGAAATTTGCAGTATTAGTTATGAAAAACCCACCAATGTACTTCAACGAACACATAAAGATTTATCTGATGTAACTCCATTTTTATCGAACACATTCAATTTGGCTGCATATGTAAATCATTCTAAGACATTACAAAATCTCATAGACCTGAATGTCAACATTAGTAAATTTGAGAAGAAACCTTACATTATTGAGAAGTTATTAAAATTAGACTTTGAGAAAAATATGAAAAGCCATATAGTATTTCTTTCTGATTACGTTAACATGGAACAAATGGGTGAATTTTTTACAAAGAATCCTATGATATTTTGTGAACATTTAGAAGATTTAAAAACTAGAGTTAATTACCTAGAAAGCAAAAGATTCTCTGATAGTGAAATAAAACGAATAATAAGCAAAAACCCTTATTGGCTTAACTTTAGGTGGGTCCGAAATTTGAATCTATTTTTTTTTAGAAAATTCTTGTGTGTTAACTAATTTATTAACTATAAAAATGTTTTTTCCAGTACAATTAGAATTGATAGAAGATTCGGATTTTATCAACAATATTTTGATTTAAGTGGCAAAAATGTCAGATGTTTAGCAACAACACAACCAAAATTAATAACTTATAATCTTCACCATGTGAAATGCAATACATTTGCCATTAAAGAAGAAATGGGTTTTAAAGATGAAGAAATAAAACTGCTTCTGCTAAATAAACCGAAACTTTGGATGATAAGTGAGTATATAAAATACAGCTTAGAATTGGCGGGAAGAATTATGCTATTTTCTTACACATGTTAGTTAAACCATTTTTAATTTCAATATGATAATTATCCATGTTGAAGAGTAGACGTAGAAGTAGATGTAGAAGAGTATTCATTAATGACTCACAATTATTGAACATTGTAAAAATAAAGGCTTTCAATCATAATTCAAAGTGGCATTCACAATACGAGGTTGCTGCGAAAACTTATTTTTAACATAAATGTGCATAGGTACATATATATTTCCCCTTATGCATCACTATTTTACACCCCGTTTGGTGTTTTACATCTTGTGGTGATCAGTCTATGATATCAAAATGTGAATGCTGCCTGAAAGTTAAATTGCAACATAAGAATGTATTGATTGTTTCAACCTTCAATGAGGAAGGCATGACTGTTTCATTGCAGAAATAGGCAAGTTCATTATGCCTCCCAATCCACCTTACACTCAGTAAAACAGTCCGGTTTGAATTGAAACTTAAGATACTACTAGATAATGACTGAGCTTTGCTCGGTATTTTATTTTTTGACAAATTGTGTTTTTTAGAAATTATATTTAAATACGAATTACATATTGATAAAATGATGAAATATGGATAGTATTTTTCGATCTTACGGATAGAATAATAAAAAATTTATGAACTGGTTATTTAAAGAAAAAATCAAAATTATTGATAAAGTTGATTATTGAAAACACGAATAAAACAACATTTTCTGAAAATAAGTCGTAGCTAGATCGATTTATCGCCTCCGAAATTTCCTGTATACTAAATTTTATGAAAATCGTTTGAGCAGTGTCCGAGATTCAGATTATATATACATATATTTATATACAAGAATTGCTCGTTTAAAGATATAAGATTAGTTGATTTAATAGCTGCAATAATAAAGTACCTATTAATAGTGATTTATTTTCTTACAGATCAAAGAATGCTAATAGAAAGATTTAATTATATTCACAATATAATGAAAATTCCTCACACAACAATATTAGAGAATGCTGGAGTCTTATTAAGCAGGGTTTTTAGAATAAAACAAAGACATCTCTTTTTGCAGTCATTAGGTCGTGCACAATATGATCCAAAAAAAGTGAACTATGTTCCTATAAAAGCGCTAGTTGAAAAAACTGATGTACAATTTTGTAATAATTTTGCAAAATGTGATATTGATGATTTTAATATGTTTTTAAAAACCTTGTGAACAGTTATTATAAATTATCCTGTTTTACCAAGCAATAGTTTGTTTTCAAATGCATTAATTGAGTGATACAATAGAGCATCAAAAATGCCTGCAACAGTAAACACTCCTCCAATTATAGCACAGATGTTTGTAGCAAAATGACCAATGGACCTGTAAAAATATATAGATTTGTGTCATATTGATATTATGTGTTTTAATTAATTTGATGCTGTTCACAGATTATCAGCTTACCTTTCTTTTTCTGTGTATTTTACCATTAGTGGTGATAATTCATAGCTGAAGAAAGCACCAGGCATACCAGATTCTGCATGGACATTCGAAACTGATTTGTGATGTCTAGTGACGGAGAATTGGTTTGTGTGTAATACTGTTTTATCTAACTTTACATACATAGTTGGTATTATTTTTAAATAATACTGAAACATCATTGCACCTGAAATAATATAAAAACATGTACATAAATCGGACGCTTGGGCGAGAGTGCGTGCAGGTGATTCGTTTAGTGGGTAGAGCTCTAAATGGCATCTTTGGGTTCGCGGTTCGCTTTCTACATCTGCGGACCGTCCAGTCCCACATACTCTGCGGACCGTCCAGTCCCACATACTCTGCGCACCACGCAGGCGGTTCGTAGGAAGTTCGGCTTCGGCCCAAAAAAAGCCATCGTACATTACAGTTGGGTAAATCTTTCACGGTTTATTAATAAGGGTTCCTTACTACGTAACAGTCACATTAGTACTGATGACGTTGGTTTATCTACTAAAGCCTGCAATACATGTTGGCCGAGCGTCGCCGAGTGAACCCCAATATCAACGTATAGGCAGTATATTTGCATTGTCTTGCCATCGCTCGGTGTCGCTCGCCTAAATACCGAGTAAAGTCAAGCGCCAACGTGTATAGAAAGAACTCATTTGGCGTAGCTTGCCATAACTTGCGGTCGCTCGCGATCACCTGCCGCAATTCGGAGCGCTGTCGGTTTTTCTGCACAAATCAATACGCTCGCGCGCACTCAGCCAAACATGTTTGTCAGCGCGCCATTACGCGGTTGGCGTTGGTCGTGTGTACGCCTATAAAATGTCACGCTCAACAGACGGAGCCCAATGTGTGGGCATCTGTTCAACATTCGTCTATATTGGCCATTTGCATTTGTTTTCGATAAATCTTGCCGAACGTGTAGGCAGTAGCACTTGCCTTGTATTAATTTGCTTACGCTCGCGTTGGCCTAAGCTCGGCCAACATGTATTGCAGGCTTTACGCAAAAAAACATTGGTTGCCTGTAAAGTCGGTATATGGACGATAGATTTACGTGATAACGTCAGTAGCAGAACTATTCGAGCTGCTAGCTCCGATTCACGCGAGAAGAGATATGAATGTGTCACAAGCCAACGATTGGGCCGATCGTTCCTCTCTATCGCTTGTTCCGCGCTCTCGCTAGCAAGCTCAGACTTAAAGGTTTATTACACTTGGCTGAATTTAGTCGACTGAATTCAGAAGCAAATTTAGAAGCTTCTGATTGCACTGTTCTAAATTCAGTTACTGAATCAATTGTCAGTTTAAGCGCGACGAAGTTGGACGTGTCGTGTGTGTACGAGGATGGCCCCGGTATTGTCTAGACAACAAAAAAAATGGTCCTGGCGTAGCCGTCGCTGTCGGCTCAATTGAAAAATAAAAGAAGAGAAGAATATGGGTGAAGAAATATTCATTGCTCCGCGGAAAGATAGCAAATATGAACATTATGAGTGATTTAGAACCAGCAGACTTCAGAAATTATCTTTATATGGATTCGAGATCGTTTGACCTAATATTAAACCTTGTGACACCGTTGATTCAAAAGCAGGATACTATCCTACGATAGTATAAGTCCAAAAGAAAGATTGATTGTAACATTAAGATTTCTTGCAACAGGAAATTCGTATCAAGATTTAAAATGTAGTTCTTCAATATCCCAACCCCTGATGACAAAAACTATCTCTGAAACATGTCGGGCTATTTATGTCTGGCACATTTAATAAAGGCGACCGAAATTAATACTTTTTATTCGGAAGCAAAAAACAAACTAAAACGTCCTTACGCACGGAGAGCTATGGGACAACTGAATGAAACCATTCAGTAACTAAATGCGATTACACATTCATAAATGCGTTTCTAATTAGGCTTCTAAATGATTTAGTCAGTCAGAAACCATCCTTGCTACTGAATTTAGTATGCCAGCTTACTGAATGCTATTACACTTCACTGAATTCAGTAGCGACTGAGTTTTTGAAGTCATCGTGGCCTAAGGGATAAGACGTCCGGTGCATTCGTGTTGAGCGATGCACCGGTGTTCGAATCCCAGGCGGGTACCTGAAGTCGTCGTGGCCTAAGGGATAAGACGTCCGGTGCATTCGTGTTGAGCGATGCACCGGTTTTCGAATCCCAGGCGGGTACCAATTTTTCTAATGAATTACGTACTCAACAAATGTTCACGATTCATCGAGTAATAAAAATGAAACCCGCAAAATTATAATTTGTGTAATTACTGGTGGTAGGATCTCTTGTGAGTCCGCGCGGGTAGGTACCACCGCCTTGCATATTTCTGCCGTGAAGCAGTAATGCGTTTCGGTTTGAAGGGTGGGGCAGCCGTTGTAACTATACTGAGAACTTAGAACTTATATCTCAAGATGGGTGGCGCATTTACGTTGTAGATGTCTATGGGTTCCAGTAACCACTTAACACCAGGTGGGCTGTGAGCTCGTCCACCCATCTAAGCAATAAAAAAAAAGCAGGATTCGGCGTATGATTTATAGGTATATTATAGTAGGCCGTAACAACGCTTGGAGAGTGACGAGTTTAAATCAACAAAATACAAATTTTCTATTAATTCATTACCTATCTAATATAGTGCCGGGACTTTATTTATTAGGATTATACTTCTCTCTAGGAAAAACTGAAACTGCATTTTTCTTCATCACCAGTATTTACTAAAGTGACCATACAGAGGTGATACAACACGACGAGAAATGAAAACTTCAGTTTGTAATCGATCTAATTTTGTTGAGCTAAAAGTCATCAAAAGTTAATAATTTTGCGAAATAGATGTCACGTAAATTTTCTCTTGAATTAATCCGTTCGAAGATTGCATTGTAATAAATTGACTCCAAGATTCACTAAATTGGATAGGTAATACTGTAGTCGATTTTCGTAACGTTACGTATTCGTAATAGGGATTCTTAATCCATTCCCCTTAAAACAGAACACAGAATATCATAACATCAATGAGTTCTAAGTTCTTTATTTTAGAATACAATACTTAACGAGGGGTGAAATGCTGTTTGGTTTAAGCGATATATCGCTTAATACGCGACATTTATCTTTGTAATTAAAGGTTTGTTTTATTTGGTATTCGTATCAATAATTCGTTGTTTCTAATCGAACTTCAATTAAGTTTACCCCGTTCAAATAACTGAAGCAGTTTTTGTTATCTTTTTTCAAATTTTAAACTTTAAATGGCTCTCATGTAAAGTCGCAAAAATGTCGCTTAAACTAAGCAGCATTTCAATCCCTGATAACTTTCTACTTTCTACTTTTTATTTGCTGACACCTTATTTAAATACTCAGGTCACTGCCATAAGTAAGACTAATGTATTGACTCCTAATACTTATGTTGAAATCGGTAAAAAGGCTTAGGCTTTAGAACTTGTAAAGAATTAGACACACAAATATACCAGAAAAACGTTACCCCACAACATTAATAAAAAAAAGTTTTTATTTCCTACTGAACTGTACCGTAGGTAGAGTACGCGTCACTTAAAAAGAACGCTGGCGGTCAAGCTGCGCAGTAGGCCATTTATCGATGTATTTGGTGGTATGAGGTGCGGTGCGGGGCGGGCGGGTCACCTGCCGCATGCTTGCCGGTGTGCTATTGGTTCGTCAGTCGACCTTTGCTTTCCGCGCTGGGTTCACGTTACGTTCGTTCTCAAAATACTATCGCGCACATAAGTTTTAATTACAAAATGGTTTTACATAGAAAAGTGAGAAAAATGATTTATGACGTATATTGTTTTATGAAGAAAGAGGCTGATAATAATGTTGATAATTTGAAATAATGCATGAAACGGACCGCAGTGGCAACAAAATGTTCCGAGTCTAATTTAATTTTTAGGGTTCCGTACCTCAATAGGAAAAAAACGGAACCCTTTGATCACTTTGTTGTCCGTCGGTCCGTCCGTCTGTCTGTCTGTCTGTTCGTATTCAGATTAAACATTATACGCAGAAATTAAACATGTTTTTAATTCTATTTCAAAAATTCTATCTAATATATTATTTTTAATGTACTTACCATGTACGATCTTACCACCGTACAATGTTATTATAGTTAAGGAATGCCGATCCCGAACAGTACCAGAACGTCATGCTTACTCGCGACGCGATCCACTTTTTACGGCGTGACAACAAATAATATAATATGAATTTAATTACAGTCAAGAGAGTGCATCACTAACTATCGTACAATTCACATCAAGAGAAATTATCATCTTTATAACTTTACCTAAACTTTACTTTAAACTTATGATATCTTTCTACGCTCTCCTGTAACATGTAACTGCATATAGCTACAAGAGTACAGAACTACTAAACTGTACATACCTATAACCAATATACGAAGCCGCGAGCGAAAGATTACTTCAAAAATAAAACAAAAGTACTTAGTATTTTGGTGCGCGAGTGTATCCATGCGCAAACACACCCCCTCCACTTTCTTCCAGCGTTCTTTTTACTTGACGCGCGCTCTACATACGGTATTATTTTTTTAATTACATACCTACTCTGTTATGTAGGGTGAAATGAAAATCACAGAGGACTTTTCGGCCGGAACGCGAGGAGTGAAGTTGTGTGATTTGTTTTATTTTTGTCTATTTAGTTTCTTCTGGTTTAAATGTGTAATAACGGTGGTTTATTAAGTGTTTAATATCTGTGAAAGTGCACAAATGTGGGAAAATGAAACAAAGCCGCTGGACGTAATTTCTCGGGATTGCTTAGTTGGATGGACGAGCTCACAGCCCACCTGATGTTAAGTGGTTACTGGAGCCCATAGACATCTACAACGTAAATGCGCCACCCACCTCGAGATATAAGTTCTAAGGTCTCAGTATAGTTACAAAATCTCAGTAAATGACCACCATTTTACCGAGATTATATTTCATCCCATATCATCTCATCTCATTTTATTTAATTTTATCCCAGTTGATTAACGTCTCAAATTAATCGTCTTCATTTCATTTCATATTATCATTTTTCATAAAAATAAGAATATAAATTAAAATAAGACATGACTTAAAGGTCTAAGTTACCAGTTCATAAAATCCTTTAAAAAAATGAAGATCACAGATGTCAACATTGCGTTGAATGGCGTTGATGCTCTTTATGGCGGGAGCGTGAGGAGTGAAGTTGTGTGATTTGTTTTATTTTGTCTATTTAGTGTTTCTTCAGGCTTAAATGCGTAATAACGGTGGTTTATTAACTATTTAGTATCTGTGAAAGTGCACAAATGTGGAGAAATGAAACAAAGCCGTTGAATATAACTTCTCGGGATCCTCCAAAAAGTCAACTGAAGTTTCAGTCAATGATCACCATTTTACTGAGATTATATTTCATCCCACATTTTCTCGTCTTATCTCATTTCATTTCATGCTAGGTATGTTTCATATTAATCAACTTCATTTCATTTTACTTCTCATGTTTGTTATATATGTATAAAAGATTAGACTGTATGGTATGATACCTTTGCCTTTCCAGTTGGAAAAATAAAACTACTACTAGTCTACTACTATTTACGGTGACGGGTAAAAACATAGGTTTAGATGTTATTTTAATGTACTTTGTATAGCTAAAGGACAAGAATAACTTACAAATAGTTTTATTTAAAATGCCTGTACCGGGTGCTGTTTATCACAACCAAGGACCTTCGTGTTTTGATAAAATGAAAATGGGTTTTATGATTGGTTTTTGTGTAGGGATGGCTAGTGGAGGTCTTTTCGGCGGATTTACTGCATTAAGGTTAGGTTTGGATTTTTATATTTAGTTATTTTGTCAGATTAAAATTTTATAGAAAATGTAAAAAAACTATTACAGGTATGGAGCAAGGGGGAAAGAGTTAGTACATTCCGTTGGAAAAGTAATGCTTCAAGGTGGAGGCACATTTGGGACTTTTATGGCTATTGGAACTGGTATACGTTGTTGATTAGTTTTTTAATGTCAATAAGTTATATAAATTAGTTTATGTTACTTTAAATTTGTTTCATTTTATTAATGTCATTGCAGTTAAGAATTTTAACTACACTGTACAAATTTGTACATAAATAATCAACAATTTTAATTTAATATCCCTTAGCAGCACAACAGAAATTCCTTTGATATCCTGGTAATTTTATTTTTGTTAGTGATTATTTTTATGGCCAAATCGCAAGCTGTTTGAGAGTTTCTTTGATATTTCTACACTTCAATCATTGTATATTGCTCATTATTCGAAATTAGTAATGACTGTGCCTAAAGTGGTAATTTTGCATCCTGTTCTTTTTTTGTCCACTCTTTAATATTATTTTTACTGCACTAGACAGGTGAACAAGTTTACTTGGTTTTATGTTGTTATTGGAGCTCATAGGTAACATGGTGTACATACCAGTAAAAGTGGTGTAAAAGCATCAAGAGACTTGATGAGTTTTAAGTTGAATCGTACCCTATAATGGTTATCTTGCCCTTCAGACTAAACGCATGACTTGTTTGGCAGCATAAACAAGCATTATGCTTGTCCCTTCTTTGTGGGGGCTCAATATCATTACCTTTTATCCAGATTAATAAATGTTGGTATGCTTCATTTTCAATATATGATTTATAATGTGAAAAGAAAATTAGCAGAAGTGACAGGATATTGGTGTGGGGCACAAAATTCCCCTGGTCTTTTTCATAGACCTCTATCAAAATTTAACTGGTTTAGGAGGGCCCCATGTAGCTACATTTCTACCATATTCCTAAGATGACAAAAAAAACCTGAAGATTATATCTAGTATAGCTAAGGAAATTTGAGTTGTGGCTGAGTTCCAACCATTAACTAATGGTTTTTTTTTAAATTGGAAGAATTGGTTGGATTATTAACTCATTCACTGTGTGAGTGTATGTCAAAAAAGTAAAGTTGCTAAAAAACAGCACAAGGAAGCAATCAATTCTCACTTATTCCATTCAAAAACTTCCTAGTCAAATTGTACATTTAAGTTATATTTGTAATGTTCTTGGACTAATTGTGGTCCCCCTACTTTTTGGTAATACCAACATAAGACTCCCATTGAATTTCTCTTGGACCTGGATGGCTTTATGAACTAAGGTACTAGATCAAATGGTTTAGCTTCATAACTGCATATGTCTGGACACTGGTTGTCGAAATAGTTTAGAAACCAGATTCATCAAATATAGCCTTTATTTATAGGAACCTTTCCTGAATCCTAATGTTAATAGAAAACAACAATGAAATCATATTTATTTATTAAATTACGTATTTCTATTTGTCTATTTAGTGAATCTAGAGTGGTACATAATAAACATACATACATTTACTGGTGGTAGGTCTTGTGAATCCACACGGGTAGATACCACCACCCTGCCTATTTCTGCCGTGAAGCAATAATTCGTTCCGGTTTGAAGGGTGGGGCAGCCGTTGTAATTATACTTAGAACACATATCTCAAGGTGGGTGGCGGCATTTACGTTGTAGAGGTCTATAGGCTTCGGTAACCACTTAGCACCAGGTGGGCTATGAGATTGTCCACCGATCTGTGCAATAAAAAAAAAACAGCAAAAAATTACCAATTTTGTTTTTAGTTAGGAACGGTTCCAATGTACACTATGAATATAGTCTGTCATATGAAATTGTTACATTATTTGATGTTGCAAAAACTGTTTAGAGGACGATGGACTTTGGCTAAAACAAATGCTAAGAGATAATATATAAATACCTTCAGTGGCAAGTCCAATGATTCCATTCAGTGGAGCTGTATTAGCACCTTCAATATCAGTTCCAAATGACAAATGTTTTATAATATGTGTTGTATTAAATACCGATGATGAAAATGGTTGCACATCATGTACATGAACATGACTTATTGTGAAGCTTTTTCCAGGTGCAATGTGAAAACTGCCACCAACCTTTAAATTGCAATAATAGATACTGTGTACATCATCCAGATTGCATCTTAACAGACTAAATACAATTTTGTGATACATACTCTGTTTACTTCCATGTAACCATATATTTGACATCCTTCTTTGAGAGCTAAATTCAATTTCTCAACAGATTCATCATTTTTGCATTGTTCTATAGTACTTAAATGGGGAAGAGCCCACCTTCGCAATCTATATGCTTCTTTTACATCATCACATGTATTGCAGCATCTATATTATAGAAAAAAATATGCTTAGTGTTTATTTATTTAAAAAAAATAATAAGTCTATTTTTCACTGGTAGTAGGACATCTAGGCACGGGTAGGTATACACATCTAAGCAATAAAAATGGAATTATTCTTACTGAGACTCATTGAAAGCTGCTCCATAACAGCTACCGCATGTTAATGTTGCTATTTCACTGTTGTTTTGCTTCAACTAGAAACAATTAAGTTATTAAGTCTATTAGTGTGCTAATGACAATAGCATAGAAGGAGTGTTTATTTTATTTGCAATAGAAAATTAATTAATTGTTTTTACTGTTGATGCTGTTGATATTTCTTCTTTTTTTGGTTCTTCAATCGCATTACCATCGAGATCCAATCTCCTCTTATGAATGTTTTGTTCCATTTGAAGATGCTGTTCACCAGAAGAATCCATAGCATCTAGAACTAAATCTGAAAAGGAAATTTAAAATGAAGATAGTAATATTGTATTGACAATGGATGCCTGCAAGGTCAATGCCTCCCTCTTAAATCCCATGTTTAAAAAAGAATGGTTCATCACAAAAGTCAGTGATAAATATAATAGCTCATTTGTACTTTTTACTTGGTCAGGCTACTACCAATTGTTATTTTTAGAAAATAATATTAATTTAAATTTGCAGGAAATCGTTTTACTTTGAATACTGTTAGAAGTTGCTATTCTGGAACATTGATATATAAAAACCCAAGATGCACAGTCTCATACAAAAGTAGCACTTGAAACTGTCCCCAAACACACCAATTATATCTACGTAGTTAGAGTTATACTATAAACATCTTTTGCAAATTCGACTTTACGCGCATTGTTTAAAGTTGTTATTACAAAGCAGTGTACAATAACCAATCAAATATGACCAAAGTTAGCCGGCAGGACAGGACATAGAGTGAAGACGAATATTTGTATTTTTTTATTATTATAAGATATTGAGTTAGTATTTTAAGAGTTAGTTAAATTGTGTTCTATACCTATAATTATACTTTTATCTGAACGTAAATATGTTTTTGGGTAGGACATGTGTACATTAATCTTTAAATGTTTTCTTTAAAACTTTTAATGCGTTCTTCAGTGAAATGGTCTTCTTAACAAGTCTAGATTTTTTTCTTCCATAAGTTGTTAATGATATAATAATAATCCTTTCTAGTTAGCCTTCTGTGGCATTTGTGGAGCTCACTTTTTATGTGAACTTTTCGAGGTGTATCCAGAGTTAAACCTATACTCAGGGAAGTAGTAGAAGATTTGAATTCCTTGTTATTTTCTAAATAAAACATTGAACTTGTACGACAGACTTCAGTATCACCGCCATCATCTGGTATATCTTTGTTGACAGATGATTGATGTCCATTCTCCGCATCGACTGCAGACTGAAGTGAAATTTTTCAGTTTTCAATGTGACGTGTTGGGCCAGAGCGACACTTCTGTCATTACGTGCAGTATGTCGCGAAGCCATAAGTTGTCCCCTAAGTAATCGATATGTATAGGTAATAATGTAATACATATTTACGAACTTTAAAAATAACGTCATATGGATGACCTCTTTTCCTTCTGGAATTCGATTAAGAACTATATTATTATTATAATATATTTTCTCCTCCTCCGTGCGTCGTATTCCTCAGTTCTGAGGGTCGTGACCTTTACTGAGCACTTTTGTCAGGACTATGTTCTTCCATTCACTTCTGTCCTCCGCGCAGTGGATAGCGACATTGATGCTGGATTCCAAAGTCGTCTTGATCTGATCGGACCAGCGCATGGGACTACGCCCCCTAGGCCTCTTTCCTTCCACTTTGCCGGTGATGAGAAGTCTTTCGAGATTGTCACCCTTTTTTCTCGCAACGTGACCGAAAAACTCTAAAATCCTACGTAGGCAAATGGTGGAGAGTCTTAAGGAGACGCCTAGTTCTTCCAGGATTGATGCGTTTGTCCGATGCGCCGTCCAGGGAATCCGCAGCATTTTCCTCCAGCACCACATCTCAAACGCGTCGATCCGACTTCGATCAGCCTTCTTCAGAGTCCATGTCTCCGCCCCATATAAGAAAATAGAAAACACAAGACTTGTTACAAGTTTACGCTTGGTTTTTATGGAGATGTTTCTATCGGACCAGATGCTATCAAGCTGAGACATGGCAGTTTTTGCTATCCCGATACGTCTTCGAATCTCAGGCTCGCACGATCCAGTATTCGCAATCATGGAGCCCAGGTATATGAATCTTTCTGTTGTTTCAAGATGCAGTGACCCCGTGTGCTCCAGTTTGTTCATGCGGTCTATTACCATCACTTTTGTTTTGGATCGGTTAATGGCAAGACCAAGTTCGAGGCTAATTTTTTCAAGCTTGCTCATGAGAGCAGCCATCTCGCTTTCATTAGCCGCGAGAAGAGTGGTGTCGTCGGCGTATCGGAGGTTGGTCAATTTTACTCCACCAATGGTAACTCCACCATCCCAGCCTTCACAAGTCCGTCTCATGATATACTCTCCATAGATATTGAAAAGGACTGGAGATAATATGCAGCCTTGCCTTACGCCCTTCCTAAATTTAAAGGGGGCAGAGATTGTTTCCTCCACTCTAATGATTCCCTGGTTATTAATGTACAGGTTATGTAGCAGTAGGACCAGATGTTGCGGTACTCCCAATTCTGCTAGTATTTTCCACAGGTGATCCCATTTTCTAACATATGAATACTTATTCAAAACTAAATACAAAAAAATTCAAAGTGTATAAACTTATTAATTAAAACTTTAAACACAATAAAAAAAATCGACTCCATTGAATAAGAACAGGATCTTTTGGATTATGCAACTAAAATAAAAGGCCATTTAATAGTAGTTCCTACATCGAAATAACAGCCATTGAAATTCGCCTTAAATACTTGGACCATTGAGTGAAGTTTTTAAACAAATTAAATCAAAATCACATATTGCTTTCTATATTTAGTCATAAAAACAACAAAAACACATTAACAAACTCTTTTACTCACCGAATATACGAATCTCATCCTTTTTTAACATTCTTGACCTATTATTTTTACAATATCTTAACAAACACTTCGGCAATTTGAATAAGTGCAGAGGGACGCGAAAGACACGAGACTATTTAAAATGAGAGCACAATTTATTAAATTGTGCGCTCATTTTATGGGGATGGTTTTGAGACGCTGAGTGTGTATCTTGGGTTTTTTAATACATCAATGATCTGGAAGCACTATTTACATTATTTATACAACAGAAAAATTGCTAGCATTTAATGATAATTATATCAATAGTTTGGGCTGGCACACTTCTGTTACATCATTGCTACTTTAAGATGTGAGGTTGAAGGTTCAACTGTGTGTTATTGTGTTATACAATAGTATAGTACAAGTAGTATGCAATAAGAATTAAACAATGTATGATGTAATAAAAGATGAGAATACATGATCCAAACACAAAATAAATAAAGTCAATAGTGGTTTTTTTGTGGTAATTGTTATCATCTTTGTATTATCTACATTACTTACAGTTACATGATATTGTAGGTACTATAATATCTAAGTTAATGCGTAATTTGTGGCCTCTGGATGTATCCACAAAAAGTTCTTCTGAAATGTTTGGGGATAGGTAAGTATGCAGTTCAGACATAAACAGCAGTATCATTATACAGCCACCAATGATTGTAACTGAAAATTGAAATGTTTGATGAGTATTATTTTAAAAGATATAGTATCTCAGGCTCAAATGAAAAACAAAAAAAATTATTAAATCTCACAGTCTTTCCACCCTTCAAATTGCAATGCATGACTGCTTCACAGCAAAAATAGGTAGATACCTGTGTGTGCTAGAAATATTAGTAACTATGGATCGCATAATCGCCTTACTGGCACATTACATTACTGCACATTTTTTAATTTTGCAATCTTGTTTGACACAATGTCAATGGTCATTAATTTCAACCATTGTACGATATCCACGAACAGATTTCATCTCTACCTGGTCCGGCTATGTTTATGTAACTCAGTGTATTATTGGTAAATTTTTGGTATGTAGAAGACCCCACACAGTATTTTCCGAGAGCTATGCAAAACGTGATCTTTTTAAAATGTCGATTAAAACGATTGTGATTCCTTAGTGGCAGGCAGCAGCTTGGTTGTACTTTCGAAGTTGTTAAAACTCACGAGCTAATGTAATCTCTTACCATCAAATGGGTCGAAGGTTCTAAATTACTTACCGGTTGCCCCCGTTGTAGTTTTAACTCTAAAATCTTCCAAAGTCTTAGCATAGGCGTCTAATTGTTTGAATTTGTCAATGAATTGCGTCATGTTGAAAATGGTCGATTCAAATCAATTTAAATTATTTCAGTATTAAACGAAATACTTTTAGATTTTAATTAAATAAAACCGCAACACAAACAATATTTTGACAACCGGACGGCGCCTCGTATTTCCTTTGACGTGGTTTTGTTTTGACTTTCTAGACTTTTAAAAAATTAAAAAGTCAAAGGGATTTATTGGCGCAGCCCAATCCAGTTAAGATTAATCAACTTCTTATTTATTAAAATGACAAATCAATGAATTTTTTATTTAGAATTTTTGATTGGACGTTGAGTACGAAAAGGAGTAGGACCTTGACCATGACCATTTTTTTGGGTGTATTAAAAAGTGTCCACTGAAATGGAGCCAATTAAGGTGGCGCTATATTAGCAAATGGAAAGATTTTAAAAACAGTGCCATAAGCTATTAGAATTGGATACTACATTAAGAAGGAAAGAATCACTTCCTACGTAAATAATAATAAAAATAGATTGTTGAGATTTTAAATACTGCATATTTTTAACTACACAAGTTTAAGAAAAATATTAAAAAAAAAATCCTTTTTTTTTTGGTCAGGAGGACATCGGTGACATCGCCGGACTCTCCCACCCTCCACTGGGGATGGCGGGCGGGGTATGTCGGAGTCGAACCGACTAAAACCTCCTGTCGCTCAATAAACTACGTCCGAGCCTCTCATGAGACAGAACTCATGAAAAGGCAAATAGGGGAGAGTGAAGCGTTTAGCATCTCTTCCATCACCCTCCCGCTCGGGACGCCGGACCGGCGGTCATTGGCGCCATGACCACGAACCCTCTCGGTCGGCAGGCTGCCCGAAGCCCGCCTAGATGGCGCCGGTTAGAATTAGTTATCAGAACTGGTCAGAACCAGCGTGGGTCGAGGATAGCCGGCCTTCCATCACCCGGATGCTCTTGCGTAAAACGCGTGCAGAGCAGCTTGCACGTTATCTTCTTAGACCCCTTTCGCCGGGCCCCAGACCGACATATAAGGGAGACCCGAAACACTTAGAGGGCCAAGGCTTGGGCGAGATCCGCCTCCCTGGCCCCCTCTCGACGGCGGCGGGCTTGTGCGTCTCTCACGCGCCCCGCCGCCTCCTTCTGCGAGATGGTGCACTCGCAGAAGTCGAGCATCGCCTTCCATGACTCGTCGTTGTCGAGCATCGATGCCACAAAAATAGGAAACGACTTTTGCGACGAGGACACGGCGCCACCTCTCCCATGCGGAGCAGGCAACGAGCGTGTGCTCCGCCGTGTCCAAGTTGCAACCACAATGGTGGAACTCTGTCGTCGGCTCGGCTCCAATCCGGTGCAGGAACTCACCGAAGCAACTATGCCCAGTGAGCACCTGCGTGAGCCGGAAAGTGAAGCGTCCTCTGTCACGATTCACCCAATCCACAAGGACCGGGACGAATCGTCTCGACGGTCCTACGACCAGCCGAAGGATCGGCCAGCCGCCTGGACAAAATTTTCAACCTAGGACATTTCACTTTGCTCAAAACTCCCATATTCATATAATTTCCATTTCATACACTAGCGCTAATTCGGTGTGTCTTCCAACAATCACTTGCTGTTTACAGGTGGATACTTATTCACTTGTCCCTTATACAAGACAGTTCTCCTTACTTCTATCCTCCATAATTTTGAAACGTAATTTTAGGATCACAATTACTTAGTTTAAGTTATTGTGGCCATGACTGTATGGTATGGTTATCATTTCTTGTGATTATCGAAATATTTTGTTTCCTTTTTTCGCTTAATTACAGTACAATTTCACGGCCCACCTTGGTTTAAGTGGCTACCGGAGTTTATGGAGATTATATAAAAAAATTACCTTGTATTGCGGATTTAATCGCTACAAGCTAGGATTGTCTGCTGATTATCGTAAACACACATGTGAGACATGTTATAGTTACCCGTCGAACCCGAAAACCAAATGTCTTTGTTAATGATAGGCACTGATTTGCAGCATGAATTAAATTGAACACTGTGTTGTTAGATCGTTAGCCACTGGAGAATGTAATGTTGGATTCTTTGGATAAATGACAAACGTTACGATCGGGCTTACATTTTTATTGTTACATATTCACAGGTAGAATCTTACATCCTTCTCACACGTACGTCGTAGAGAATATGGCGGATCAGTCAAAGAGTGTATTTCGTAGAAGCTACAAATTTTCCAGCTACATCTCCTACTCCATCCCCAACAACCACTTTGTTGCCTGCACCGGAGTCTGAGAAGAGGACAAGAAGTGGAAGACGAGTACGATTCCCAGACTTAGCTAGATCAGAACTTCGATCGCTGTAGCGATCTCGGAAGAGAGGCCTGTGGCGAGCCCGAGCGCGGACTTGCGCTGAGTACGGCCCTGCGCTGGAACATCGGACGAGAATATTCGACGGTACTCGCAAGTGCTTTTGTTCGGTTGAGTTCGCAGACATACGCTGGGTGCTCCGCTATTAACTTCTGTATTATATCGTTCTTTAATTAAATATAAAATTGTAGTTAATAAAAGTTGTAATTGGTGGTATCATTTCACTGCGACGAAACCACAAGTGGTCATCAAAGGTTAATGTTATGAGAATCGGCATTGGGTCGCATACACATTACAGAGAATAACGATCAAAAGAGTACACTAACACTTCTGTGACGACGCCACGTCTTTATCTTATAAGCTTAAAGCTTATAAAACTAGCTGTATAACAGAGTAAAAAATTGATAAATTTTCGAAAATTTGTGTTACGACTGATTTCTTACTCTGTGCGCATAAAGTTAGTGTCCATTGTAACCAGTTTTTATTAATTCAACTGGTCAGATGGAAGTTCACGACCCAGCTGATCCTAAATGGTAACCGAATCTCATAGAAATCACAATGCTGCCATTGCCACAGCTTGAGACATCAGGTCTAAATCTCAATCATATCAACCTCATCATAACAGCTATCTTACTCTACAAATCGGTATGCACGCTTACTGCGCAGACAGGATGGTGATGGTGGTTAAACTTAATCTTGCCGGCATATTGTTTACAAATCCAGGTCATTATAACAATGACAAAGTTTTCTTAACACAGTATTTTTGTATTATCTGACAATCATTTTTTTTAACGTGGCATAAAAAACCTTTGGAAAATTAAGTCCTTCATCTTTATGGCTTCATCTTTAAATAGCTTCATAGTAATGTCATTGTTTAACTTTATATCGTATAGCAATAATTTTCTTGTAGTTATGAAAATTTTAAAGTGAGAGTGATAATTAAAATAAGACAAATTTATAACCAATTTATTTTATTACTCATAATGTAAAACTTACTCGCTAAAAAGAAACATCAAGGTCTACCTATCTTTGTAACAAAGATGATTACTTTATTTTTCTTCAAAATAAAAATGGAGTTTACTTTGGAGTGGACTAACTTTCGACACATTATAATGATTATACATCATTGGGCTTGGAATTAAGTTAGATAATGATGAACTACATGTATGTACTGTAACCATCGGATTTTTAAATAATTAAGTGGGAAAATTATATTAGAAAGGACACTCAATTTACGACGACAAAATAATATTACATGTTGCAATGTAATTATTGATAAAATTATTGAGTATTTATTTACATGTGTACAGTCTTTTTAAATAACTTAAAGAGATCACTTCTTAACGTTGTATCCTTCGCCCTGAGGATCCAAGATCCATGGATAGTTGTTAGGACACTCCATACAAGTGAAAAGACGTAATGTCTCTCCTGGTAACTCTCTAGTTGTTAGTGGACAGGCGTTTGGCAGAGAACAGAAAGGTTGACCTTTGACGTCACATTTATCTTGTTTCCATTCTTGGAAGTCACGGAGTGATGATAATTCGGTAGGGTTTTGCATCCATTGAATAACCTGAATTAGTGAAGTGAAGTATACATCGTTCTTTTCCAACATTTCTTCGATAAACTTGATTAATTCATCTCTGTATTCTTTTTTAGATTTAAGCCAGGAGGCGTGGAAGTGGAAGCCTAAGGGAGCGCGGTTGGTTGTGTAATGACGGTTGAAGTTGTGTCGGAGAAGACGTCCAAATTGTTCACCACTTTGGATGTTTGAACATGAGTCTACAACGTGGCAACCTGGCAGAGATTCATCAAATGTGGGATCGTCCCTTCTGTCCAATTCATTCATGACCATTTCCCAAACGGGGTGACTTCTAGACGGACAGTTGTGGGCGTTGCCGTTACACTTATGTGGCATGCGGAAATACAATGTGTAAGGCCATATCGGGACGCGTCCAAGAGGAGCAGTGATGGATGCATCATATACGAAGTATTGATCACCCATCATTTCGAATTGTTTGTTTCCACCGACACGTAAGTAAGGCGCCCGAACTCCAATTATAGAAGAGTCAGTGATATTTGCGTAACGTTCAATGATAAGACGAGCTCCGGCCATTTCAGCCAACCAATCATCGTACGAACCACTCGTCCAGTATTGCGGATCATCTTTATGAGTTATGGAAAATACAGAAATTTCATGTCCTTTGCGGTGTAATTCTTGTACAGCTGCATAGTTAGTATACTTGTGTGAGACGAAAAACGTTCCTTTAATTTGACAACCGTTAGGATTATGACGATTACCGTTGAATATTTGTTCATATAAATCGATGTTGTCAACATTCACAGCACCGTTAAATGTAATAGTAACCATTTGAGGTACTTGATTTGGTTCAATTCCACCTGGGATACGTGTACCGTCAGCAGAACAGAAACAGTCAGGTAGGACGCACTGGTTAGGATCACAGTCAGGCGCTCTATTTGGGTCCAGTTCGACAGCTGTTGGCAGAACACATGATTTATTGGCATGCAATTAAAATAATTTCTTTCAACAGTTTTGTTGTTTTTCAAAATAATTATACTTACTGCAAGCATTTTCATCGGATTCATCTTTGCAGTCTGGTTTACCATTACAGAACAATTCTTTTTCAATGCAATCTCCGCTGCCACAAGCCAATTTACCTTCAGGACAAATAGGTTCGTCCGTTTTCAAGATTGGTAAAACTTTTCGTGGCTCTGAAATAACAATTAATTTTTAAGAAAAAATTTAAATCACCTACTCACTAAGGAAGAGGTAAAGTCGGATG